TTATGTGATTGGTGCGTTGCCGCCGTTAACGAGCATTAAATAATTAAAAAATAATAGAGCAAAGAACGCGGACAAATAACTTCTTTTTCGCCGTCTGCCGCACCGACTGCGTCGTTTTCTTTGCTGCTGCGTTCGGGCCGTAATCGTCGTTTCAGTGCGTTGTTCGAGCCCGATGGGGGCTTTACTGACGACGGGGTTGAGGGGTGGTAGAAGGGGGGCTGTGGAAAGGGGGGTTAATGGACGCCGCTGCTCGCGGCGACGGTCGTCTGCTCCCCATGACGTCATCCGGCGTGGAGTGCTTCGGTATCGCGAGCCTCGACAGGCCCCCGGATGACTGGCCTGCCGCCGAGCACTCTCGGCCGCCTTTGCTGCTCCTGCTGTATTGTTTAACCGGCCTCTGTCTCTTTATTTTTTCTTTCTTTGTGTGTCTGTATTGTTTTTAGTTTGGCTTGCGCGACCCGCTTCTTCCGTATGGGTCTTGCTTTTTGCGCGTTGACAGTTTTAGATCGACGGGGTGTGTCTTTGTTCTGGTTGTGTCGCGCACTCGTCGTGGTACGAGCTTGTCAGACTACGAATTTTACCTTCGCTGTTTTAGGGGCGCGACAGTGTGTCTTTGGGATTCGTCTGGGCGAACGATCGCGGGAGACTACTTTTTTTTTGTTAATTTATTTATTTTGGAAATTTTGCCGATTCCGAGTGGGGATTTTATGCTTCGTTTCGGCTTAAGTCCAGACGCAGCCGGTGCTACGCCTTTTCTGTATAGGATGGGTTCAGCGATGATGGAACATGTACAGAAACATGACGGACACCACGATGGTGCTCGGTTGACTTTGTCTGATTGGTCCTATCAGCTGGCTGCGTCGGCTCCGTCTGCACTTAAAATGAAATGAAAGAATAATGGAAAAGATAAAACAAAACAAAAAACATGGCAGTCGCTTAAGCTTCGCCTTTAAGAGTGGAACGCGATAGCTTGATCCGGGACCCCGTTTGCATCGCCTTCTCATTCGCCGTGCAAGCGTGCCTTCCGAGGCTTAGCCAGTAGCGTGTCTGGCTCGCTACCTAATATTGTTCAGACTTTTTCTTTAAGAAAAATGAATTACTTTATAAAGTGAAATCGTTTTGAGACATGCGGCGACTTTGAATTCCCGTTACGTGCCACTTTTTTTTTAACCACTTTCGTTCCAGGCGTGACGTCACGAGTCCCGTGAGCGTTCTGGGTTGTTTGATATTCCCTTGCGAGGTCGTGTGGCTGTGACGTCGCGTCCCTATCGACCAATCTGGATTTTCGCGTCACGCCAGTGACGCTGGCTTTTTTGCGACACGAGCTTTTCAACGATATTGCGTTGATAGATAAATTATAGTTCGCGCGTCGTCGTCGAATCTTTCTCCGCGTACGGTTGCAAGTATAAGAGATTCGAAGTGTGTCTGAATTTCCAATTATCAAATGTTACGCGAGACCCCTTTCGATGCGTGGGCAGAATGGGACGCTAAACACGCCTGCCTGTGAAGCGTTTCGGGCGCCGTAGTTTCGATGGAGCCAATCAAACCGCGTAAAAGAGTGTTATCCTCACTACAGGGAACTGAGGATAGAGTGAACTTTCTAGTTCACTCTATCCTCAAGGCGCTGCTTGTATTCGTGGGTTTGTTACCACCGGGGCCAAACCAGTCGCGCATAGAAAAAAAAAAGCGTAGCGTCGAGGCGTGATTTACTATGCGTGCTGATGGTGATTACTATTCGTGATCTACTCTGCTTGATCAAAACGCACCTTTGGCGCAGCTTCATTTGCTTCGCAGGATTGTAGCAGCGCCTGCGCTGGGGCTTAAAGGGCAACTTCGCTGAATTCTGACGGGATAATGGGAGATTTCACATTAAAGAGGCACTAGTAAAGTACACTATACGTCATCTGCCTCGCGGAAAATGGTATATATATATATATTGTTAAATTTTACTTTCTATATGAGCAGAAATCGAAACATCGGCTCCGTCCGTCAACATATGTCTCGGGCCGCCAAGAACGTGGCTGTTCACGTGGTAGGAGATGTCACGTGATCCTCTACGCAACGACGGGCGGGATTGGGCCGGGCGTGCGCCAGGCACAAGTGTCGTCTGCACCGCACTCTTCATCACGTTTTGGTGTCCGCGGGATTCGACGACGTGTGCATGTCAGTCTGCGCACGTGGTATGAACAAAACTCCGGGAGAGGATAATCACAAACGGTGAGACGACGACGTCGGTAGTTGCGACGAGGGAGACAGCGGTAACGTCGAGACGGCCGGACTGCTCCGCTCCCAAGAAGCGCGCTGAGCAGGCGCGTTACGCCAATCACGTGAACACCGCCGAACGCCGAAAGGAGACGTTGCTGACGTCACCGTTACGCTTCCCCGGAGGAGTAAGAAAACTAGCAAAAAGGGGCAATGGTGATGACGTTTAGCTCATTGTTACTACGTCAACGCCGTAGCCTTGACTGCGCTGTTGGTTGCGCGTCAATTTGCCCTCTAGAGTCAGCCTAATTCGGTAACTTGGTGCGTTGCAGAGTTGGACGGACCGTTTAAGAAACTTTTAGACGTAACTAATATTTGACTTCGGTCAAATATTCGCGCTGGTGATGTCGGCGGCGATGTTTTGACTGAAGAGCAGCGAATGGGAGACAGCTCAATAATGCTAAGACCAGTAAATACATATTCTGCGTTTGGTAGTCTCTACGTGCTTGGTAGTTAAAACTTTTGAACAGTGTTGCCAAACGCATAGACGGGAGATTAAAAAAAAAGTATATAGCACTATAACTCGGTCAAAATTGTAGAAAGTGATTACCATTGTTTACGCAATATAAAAGCGAACAAAATGTTTACCGATCTAGTTGTGTTAGAATGCGAAACAAATTATCCAATTAATGCCACACACACACTCCTCTTTCCGCCTGGTGGCGTCAGATCGTTCTCAATTTCCGCGAATGCGCAGAATAGTCGCGCTTCAGTCAAACTTCACCTTAAAAAAAAAAGTTCGCAGAAGAAAATATCGAAACTGGTCGAACTGGATCTGTGGAAGGTTCGCGCCGTCCGTAGTTATGACCGCTACTATTATCGTCACCCGTATGACTAAAGGGGGCGTGTTCCCTGCAACGAGGGGGAAAAACAGAACAAAAAAAGAAGGCGCGTGTAAAAAGTTCCGCTTTTGGCCCATTCGCGCGCACTGTCTGTCGTGAGCGTTGCGTGGCACACTCCTCTGACGGATGGCAAAAGATCGCCCGGCACCGCGCCGGCGTCTGCCGCCCCTCCCTCTTCCGCGCATGCGCGGCGAGAGCAGGCTAATGCACTTTGGCTTTCCGGCTAACAGCGGCATGCGTTCACGCTGAGCAGCCGCGTGCGGCTATGGCACGCCGTGTGTGTGTGTCCCTGCGGAGTTATGAATCTAATTAGGGATGGGAAGAGGAGAGGGGGGAGGAGGATGGGGAGGAAAGGAGGCTTTTAACGCGGGGGGGGGGGGGGAGAGGGAGAAACAGAGGAGGCTTTTAACGGAAGGGGGAGCGGGGTAGACGCGCCTCTTTCATACCGACCGGCCATTAGCTACGCGCGTAACTGGGTGGCGGCGGTGGTCATACGGCCGGCGACGCACGCTCGTTTTTTTGGGGTAGAAGCTTGGGGTGTGGGCCGCCAGTTTTTTTGTTTTTTTTGTTTGTTTTTCTTTTCCTTCAAAGGGGTTTGTTTGGTTTTTTTTTTTTTGTTTTGTTTTAGTGTGTGGGGTGTTTGTTGTATAGCTTGTTTGCTCGCGTTGATGTAGAAGTCGGCCCGGGATAAAGTCAAATCGAGTGAGTACGCGAAGGTGTTGTTCCAAAAAAACGTGTGTGCCTGTTTTCTTTTTTTTATTAGTGAGGTTTGGGGGAGAGGGGAGGGGAGGGGGAGGATTGCGTAAGGACACATTGCGTCCGTGTGTGTGTGTGTGTGTTTGGGGTAGTGTGCGTGCTTTATGTGCGCTTGGTTTGCGGCTTTTTTGCATTGTCCGTTTGTGACCAACTCTCGGTGGAAGTTGAGTCTGTCGGTTGTTTTGGTTCGCTCGTTTGGGTCGTTTATTTGTTTGTCCGCTTGAGGAATATCGGGTGCAGTTGGTTGGGAGGTACTGTCCAATGTTCGGCGCGTCACACAGAGTATTAGAGTGCGGTGGTTTTGTAACTGCGTGACGGGAACGCTGTGTCGAACGTCTTTAGTATGGCCAAAGTCACGCAGTGAAAGTACTTCGACTGATGATTTGTCTTTCTTCACACACATGGTTGAATGTTCCTTGATGTTGTTTTTCTTGCCTACTCCTATCTTTAATGCGTATTGTCTCTTAAAGCTCGTTCACATACTTCTAACCGAGAGCGACCAGACCGGTTTTTAAGCCTCTTGCGGCGTCCTAGGACCAGCTCCGCAGCAGCCGATCCGGTCCTAAAACGTCGCAAGAGGCTTAAAAACCGGTCTGGTCGCTCTCTGTCCTACTCGGTTGCAAGTGTGTGAACGGCCCTTTACTTGTCTGTGTATTTTGTTTCGAAGGAAGCGCGTGTGTTGCCTGTTGATAACGTTTTGAGAGTATTTTTCTTTCGCCTCATTTATTTTAACTGGCGCTGCTGCTACGAAACAGTCCAGAGGCCTTCGTCAAGTTTCCACTGAAAACATCTAACGTTGTTGCTACGGTTTTATTTCTTGGTTCGATATTACCTAAGCACTTAACCGTCGTTTCCCCACGTACACGTTTCAGTTTACCCTTCATTTTTAGGTCGTATGGTGGGTAGTAAAGTGTATCGTTATAAATTTCCTGCCAACAAATTCTTCGAACTGTCTCAGTTTTTTTTTTTTTTTTTTCATTTGCACTCATTTAGTAGTTGCTATTTCCATACACACCATTAAGCAATCTCGTACTCAAATTTCGCTTGTGTTTGTATTTGTATTTGTGTTCCTGTTTGTCTCCAAAATTTCACTCGTGTATGCCTGTTTCTCTTTCTTTTTTTTTTTTTTTTCCATCGCAGCTGACGCCGATTCTTGCTGGAGCTTGGAACAGCGTTTTCCCAAGAGCAAGTGGACGGCGGCCAAGGCTTTCTTTTCGGAAACAATCCAAGCGTGCTGAGCCGCGGCCACCTTCTCATCCACCCTACACTTTTTCTTTCTTTTTCTTTTTTCTAGCTTACTTACACTCGTTCTCTCGAGGAGTGGCGAGATCATCCAACTCGATCCAACGCTTCCTAGAAAAGAAGGCCTGAGTGGTCAATATGCTACGTCACCCAGCGGAGGCTGGCGCCAATCACTGATTGGGTGCGAGCGCTGCGTGATCGTTCAGTTAATGCTCGCGTCCAATCAGCGCTCGTGTCTAACCTCTCCGTTGCGCTGGAAGACGTTTGGAGCCTCTCGGTTGCATTTAAATTTGCGCACAATTGCATTTACTCTGTTATGTGGGGTGTCCCAACTTCCCCTGTAAAATGAGCCGGAAAAAAAAATAGACGCCTGCACGTATTAAGGTCAAACTTTGATTGAATCTGCACTGAGCAGGTCAGTTTTACCTCGTGAAACTTTAAAACGCACTTATCTTCCTGTAAAGAAAAAATGAGCTCAGAAATCTTGTTAGAGTCGAGGTTGTGCGCGTTCGCAGACGACGGAGTTGGCGACGCGATTAACTTGTTGCGCCATCTCCCGATAGGCGCAGCAAAGAGACAACGAAATGCGTCGTCTGCTCGTTGATGCGCCTATCGGGAGATGGCGTCACAAGTAAATTGAGTCGTTAACTCGGTCGTCTGTGAACGCCCCCAACCTTAACTTTGGAATTTTTTTGTTGTTTATTTACGGGAATAGAATCGGGCGCTTTGGAAATTTCACGCGGTAAAAGCTGACCTGCTCGGTGCGCGTTCGGTGAAAGTTTGAACTTTCTATGTGCAGGCGCCCGAAGGTCACCGGCCTCGTGACAAAACACCCCCGACGGTTCCGAGCCACTTTTCCGTTAACGGCCGCAAGATGCACAGCTAGTGATCTGTAGTTTCTGATAGGATGAGGTGTACAGGGAGGAGTTTTTGCTGTCCCGCCTCCAGTGCGAGTTTCCTACCTTCGATGCCGCTTCGACGTCTCGTGAGCTTCGGTCGTGCGCGCGCTGCCGAAGCACGGCGGTAGTCGGCGAAAGCGTGCTGGAGGCCGACCGTCCGAAAGAGACGCTCTGCCGTTCTTATCCTGTTAAGAACTATAGTTGAGTTTTTTTGACACGGGTACATTTGGTTTATGCTACGTGCGTGTTCATTTATTTGTTTTTTTATGTTTTTTTTTTTTTTTTTTTTCGTACTGGTGGCACGTATAATGACTAAGTTTCGCGCAAGAAAGATCTGATGTGGCAATCTTGCTCTAGCTGCATTTTGAATTAGATTGTCCGTATCTGTTTAACTTGTACGTTGGCCCAACCGGTCCCACCAGCGCGACCAACATCGAATTGTCGTCAGATGTAAAGCATAATCAGTTTTTTTTTTAACGAGCGGTGTTTGTGTTGTATGGCTTTTTTGCTTTGCCACTGGATTATACAAACGGTGGGGTCCGTTACACATTTGAGTCACCGAAGCTGCCGTCTTCGAGAGTCAAGCTTAACTACCGTAGTACTTGGCCAAGCACCTCGTCCATTCCCTACTGGTGTGCGTTTTTTTTTTTCTTTTTTCTTTTTTTTGATTTGTGCGTTTGAGCTGAAAGTTTTCCTCTTTCTTTTTCTTCAATTCATATGGTCGTATTTCCAAAAGTACGCGGCCAAAATTGGACTGATAAAATTTTTCCGACTTTTCTCTGACGAAAGCTCTTTAACTTTTAACTGAAAAAAAAACAAAAAAACATGTAGGTTTATTGGGTTTTTTTTTTTTTTTTTTTTTCAATCTTCCAAGTTTAACTGGGGTTGGTTCGTTAGAGCAAATAGGTGTAATGAGACCGGGATCCTGGGGTGGCAAGATCTGACAAACCGAGCGCGTCTCTCAGAAAGTCACGAGTCGAGAACTTCGTCTTGGTAACGAGGCCTGGCCGATCCTTACAATAAACTGTCTTGTTTCTGTTGCCAAAGGTTCCGGGGTTAACGCATCTCCAGACTGGTTTCGCTAGCGCACGCTGAGATGAGACACGTTTCGCGAAGCGGCACGAGCTTGTTGTACGCGGGTTTTGTAGCCTTTATTTATTGTTTTGTCTATTTTGATGGAAAGGAAGCACGAAGGAAAGATGTGGAGTCTCCATGGAGTACGCCATGTCAGAGTCATAGCAGAAATAACTGGGCGGCTTTGTGTCGTGCTGTGCACGACTGAGATTACAGAAATGACCGAGCGTTGTTTTTTTGCTTGCTTTTTTTTTACCGCCTGGTAATAAAGTTTTGCCATCCGAAGGGATCGTGTGGTCACATTTCTGCAGGTGTGGTGGGCACTTCGGTGGTACAAGATTACCTTTAGGATTGAAAATATGTTAGTTGTGAATTAAGGCTCCGTGTTTTCGTTGGATACAGATAAACCCGGAAAATTGATCTCTCGAGACGGTTTTTTATCGAAATCGGGAGAAACCAAAAATGCCAAAATAGGAGCTGACTATAATAGGGCCAGCTGAACTTAGGAAAAAACAAAAAGACGTTTACAACGCCCTGTAACGCCGAATTAGAGCGCAGCTCTTGAAGAGGAGGAGGGAAGGGTACTGAGGGGAGGGTATACTTCTCCTTAGCTCCTCATCCTCCCTGCTACTCCTCTCCTCCTCCCTTCATTATTTAGGCTCCTCTCCCTCCCTCTTCCTCCTTGCGCGTTACATCATGGGAAATGTCTCAATGCACCGCGCGGGACCCAGTCACGAATGACGTCACGATGGTCCCGCGCGGTGCATTGTGGGACGTTTCCCATAATGCACCGCGCGGTTACGCCGACGGCGACGCCGCTGAAGCCGGAAGCGGGCGCCTAAGAGTTGCGCTCTAATAGAATATAGAGAGAAAAAGGGGCAGACATATCGGGTTGACAATATAGAATAATGTATTTCCATTTCTCTTTCTACATTCTATTTCCGTAAGTTCAGCTGGCCCTATTATAGTATTATGCACTAATAAGCTCAACGAAACCCTTAGCTGTCCTTGATTTAAAAAAAAAAAAAAGAAAGCTTCATTAAAATGTAAGAAAAAGTCGACATTTTCTTTCTTTTTTTTAACTTGAAACAGGACCCGCATTGAACTGTTTGCGAGACTTTCTTCGGAACAGCGACCCTTGTTTCCTTCTTGGTACCGGAAAGTACCAAACACCTCCTTCCGTAAGTGCCCTCCGTAAGTGCCCTACGTAAGTAGGTGTTTGGTGTGAGTGGCGTCACCGCGGACCCCAAGCCATGTGGGTTCACCCACCCCCGCCTGGCTGTGCATGGCGCCCCCGTGTCTGGGGAAAAGGGCATCCAGGTGTCTCAGCCGAGCCCGGATTAGGTTTTGGACCCTTCGGGGCCCACCAAGCGGGGCAATACACTACCTGGGCCCTTGCTCCTCGCCGTTGGCTGTCCTGGTAAAACCCGGCCAGGAAATACGTCCGTCGACTCTTTCACTCCTCCCTTCATCTTTTTACCTCTTTTTTTTTTTTCTCATTCTGTTCATTTTCATCTTCGTGGGCTGCAGGGCCAACCTTGGGTGGAAGCAGGTCCTGACCTTCCAGCCGCACTTGGGTATCGTGCCGCGGAAAGTTGTCAGCGAAACCCTCTTTGTTATGGCACAGTGCCTACCCTCGTGTCCGGCTCCGTAGTGTGGGTGGTTTACCAACTCACTATTGACCCGAGCACCGAATCTCCTCCCATTCGTTAAAACATCTTGATCGGCCTCTTTAAAGAGACCGCACCGATGTTCTCGACATAGTCACAAAAGTCCCCTAATTTCTTTACGGAAGAGTCTTGTTTTACACGCCTAGGGGTTAAAGCCACTTGCTAATCTTTCACCCCATTTTGGTGTCCGAAGTGCTTGAAGTGGTTGTCGGCGCAGAGTTTAGCGCCAAAAAGATAGCATAAAGCGACCTTCTTGTTGAGGTAAACATAAATAAGCAAAGTAAATAATCTCTAGCCCTGAACTCCGTTCCAGGCGAATAAGGTCAGTGTGACTCTTGACCCAAATCGGAACACTGTCTAAGGGGTCATCTCTGAAGATGACTCGCTTGACACAGTATTAGCAACTAGCTGAGAGTCTCTCTAGCCGGAAATTTGTTGTAGCGCGACGCATTACCATTTGCCGTGATTGTGTAGAACGTTAAGCAAGACATGTTTGTTTGACTTTCGACTCTCCGACTCTTCCAAGTACTGTAAAGTCAGGCTACCTTCAGTGCCTTGTCCGGCCCTATCTGCCGAATCCTCAGCGGTGCTCACGTGCCAAAGGGTCTGCTGGTGGTCGCGAAACTGTCGGGGTAGCGACTCCTGTGTCAAATGCTCTAATAAGGAGCGTGTCGCAGATGTATGTGAGAATGAAGCTTGGAGGGCAACTCTGGTCGAAAACGAAACCAAAATAAATGATGGTATCGTTTTAGGGGTGCAAAATATGATCACAGCCGAAATATTACGTCAAAGTGAAGCCGCGGACTCCACTAAAGCCGGTTTTCAAGATGCGACCCGCTGCTCTTTAGCGGGCGGCGAGCGGGTTAGCTTTTAATCGAGCAACACTGGCGCACCACCCCCCGTGACGTCACGTCGCGGCCGTACGTCTGATGATCAGTGTTACCATCCAGCTAACAGGTAGTCTCGGTTTATCCGTAGACACCCGAAAGCAAAAGTTTGAGCTGTGATATTTGTAAAACTATACGCAATATCGAGAACAAAGAAAAAAAATATATCTTGTTATTCAGGGATACTGCTTCAGCTGAAAACAGTTGTAATCCCGAATTCAAGAATATTGACCGGAGTTGGCTAACTGTTTCCAGCACACTCCCGACCTTGCCCCTTCCGGAAACGAAAGAAAATTTTCGCCTTAAAGGTTACTTTAATATATGTATATGTATGTATATATATATATATATATATATATATATATATATATATATATATATATATATATATATATATATATATATATATATATATATTGTATTGATGCAGAGTAGCGCTTCACCTTTGTTTCCAAAGGCTTAAAAAATGTCTGCTTTAGGCCACTTTTTGCCCAGGCCGCACGCAAGCGACCGGTGCGGCCAATGGTTTCGACTGGAAAACAATATGTTTCGGGACGATCCGCGTGCCATGTCGCGGCCTTCTGGGTCCTTGGGAACAAAGTGGGTGCTGCCTCGTCAGCATCCATCCCGTAGCGGGGGAGAAGACCCCCTGGCTCCACCTGCCACTTCGCCCCCTCGGAGCCGAGGTCAACCCCCTCGCACCTCTGCTCCTCGAAGGGAGTTCAGGGAACCAGTAGACCTCGAAGGGTCCGCTGCCGGCGGAAGCAAGCTAGCTTATGGATGACAGTGGGCTCAGAATGTTCCCCTCTCAGGATCGAAGTCCTCTCTTCCTTTCTCCACTGACCCTTCTCGGAGAGACATCATACTAGAAAAGAGCACCCCGCGTGTAAAGATAGCTTTTAAACCTTAAAAGATGTCTGCTTTAGGCCACTTTTCGAAGAATAATACCTTTTAACGCGATGGCGTTTAGGAGATCGTGTCGCGGACAAGTCGGCGTCGGTGGGGCGGGAAAAGCCTAACAAGTCAATAGGATCATGATGTCACAGTCACATGACCTTGCGCGGGAATTTCAAACAACGTTCACGTAAAACGTGACGTCACACGTGGGATGAAAGTGATTAAAACATGACATGTAATGCGATTTAAAGGTCGCTGGATGTCTCAAATGACTTCTGGGTGGAAGCGGAATTTCAGGCGGACGCGGGATTCGAACCCCCGACCTTCGGTAGCGAGCCAGAAACGCTACCGACTAGGCCACGCATACTTTTTCTTTCTCGTCTTTATTGCACGGGAATACAGGACGAGAGGTACACATCATAAGTTAGCTCAGGAGAATAGTATGGTCTAGAACTCTTTGTTATTTATTAAGCTAGAGAGCAGAGGCAACCAGTCAGGCAGAATTCTGCGACACTCATATATTCGCGACTCCAGCCCGCCACTCGCCCTCTTGCGGACGGACGGAGAACCAGAGGAGCGGGGACGGCGGCTGCGGCGCGGAAAAGGTGGCAGGGACTGTCGGGCTTGATGGGTGAATCTGTTTTAACGCAAAGAGTGAGCGCGGTAAAATAGGCATTCTTGTGCTCCGCCTTGCAACAGCGGTGCATGAAGAACCGGGATGTCTAATTTCATTACGGACTTTTCGTTTATCGCATACGCTGTGGATTTCTGGTCTTTTGTAGGGCCACCCGCTCAATTTGTGCTTGACGTGACGGCGAACGCTCCCGATAGTTAAGTAGGGCTTTAGCGTACGGTCTATGAAACGTCTATTATTTCCTCAAATGTTATGTTTAAAGGGGAATGCCCCTGGTCCGCACATAACGCCGCTTGGTTTCATAGATGATCTAGAGTCTATGCTGAGCTGAATACCATTGACGTAGGGTGGCCGGTGAGGCACAACTCGCCGAGTTGTCAAGCGTGGTTCTATGCCGTGGAGCGGCCCGGTAATTCCGACTGAGGACATCAACCGTCAATAGGTCCGATCAAGGATACATCTGTTCGAGGTGGCGGTTCAGGCAAAATCTC